CATAAAGAAATGTATATGTATAAGTCGGCCATAATTTGGAGAAAAACAATACTGCCGTTTCATCATGGTATCCATATCAGCTATTACATATTCTTTACAAAATCCCCAAATCTTGCTTTTTATAGATACGTCCTATATTGTTTAGGACTGTGAGCTCTATATATAGAGGAAAGTCACCATTTACGAATTTGATATTTTGATTTCAGCTTCAAACATAAGTAACCGATAAAAACGAAACCACGAAAGTAGGAAGTACTCTGTAGACACACTGAAAATAACATTATGAAAATATGACGGTTTTGAAAAAAAAACAGATCTCAAAAGTAAGCAGTCAAAAACTTAATGTAGAAAGGTCTTTTCATGATTTGATATCTTTTTGTTCAACTGCAAACATAAATTCGGTTAGATAATGGGTTTAGCTGTCATCATGAAAATTGGTAATACATTGTCTATGTATATGGTAGTGTAACTTATATTAGATTAACAAAATTATTCATGTTTTCATGAAATAATTCTTAACAGTTTAAGAACTTTGATGTTGATGTTTGTTCGATGTTCTGTAATTTTTAACGATAGAATTTAATGGGTTTTTTTCATTTGTTTTGTATAATTCTATGATCTTGTTTACTAACACTATTAGAGAATATTGAATAATTCTAGATAAAACAAAAATCAATTTTTACAATATAAAATATTAATTCTACATCCTGAAAAATACCGTTAAACTGCATTACGAGATAATTTATCTGTCTACAAATGCTTTCGTGAACCACGCAATCGAGCTCGCTCCAAATGAAAGATGACGATATTTACAAATTGATAGATTTATATCAATTGAATAATGATGAAACATTACTGATTGAAGTATTTGGTAAGCATACATAATTGATATATTACCAATCCATTAGACAATTCTTGTGACCATTTGCTTCATATCAGGCATTACCAATAACGAAGTCACCAGTCCATGATTGAGTTGGTTTAGCTACATGTAATGTAATATATGTAAATGAAGGAAAGCTTATCAATGTGTTACTAAAGTAGTTATATATACAAAATAAATACTTGATATGAACAACACATCAAATATCACAAAAAGATAATCTAGGATAGGAAAACACGGGAGATAACTAATAAAAAATTGAAAACCAAAAATAAATGAGCCAATGACGAGTCCACAAACATTTTTATTCTGAACAAGAATGAATTTGAATGAGTTGTAAGACTCCTGAGGCTAAAACTAATAAACTCTGATTAATTATGTTTGTGATGATCCATTTTGCTGTTTTTCCATTATGAAACTGAATTAACCTTTTACTATGTTGATAAGTGATGCAATCATGAGTGATTGGAATAAAGTGAATATAATATACGTAATTATATGCCGTAAAAAGGTCCTTTAGGGCCATAAGATGGCTTGTGTGTGTTCAACCATAATTAGCTAGGCATTTGGAACTTGCGGACCATGGTAGATATATGTACACATCTCATGTCATACAACATAGAACGTACTTCATCAATATTCAATAAGTAAAACCAAGAGTCAGTCTTTTGTCAATCCTTCTAATTGTGACAATCTATAAGCGAAGACAAACCAAGGTGCAATCTCTTGTCAATCCGTGTATTTGTGACAATCTATGGACGAAGACCAACCAATAGTCAGTCTCTTGTTAATCCATCTAATTGTGACAATCCATGGGCGAAGGCCAACCAAAAGGCATGGGAATATGGATGTAGATGTGACGATGTATGTATACTGCGGTGTAGATGTGACGATGCTAGGGTATATGGGTGTGTTAGTGACCACGCATAAAAATCAAGTTGGGATGTGACAATTTATGGGTACAGAGTTGACGATGTGACGGTGTATGGGTACATGGGTGTAGATGTGACGGTGTATGGACACATGGGTGTGAATGTGACGGTGTATGGGTACATGGGTGTAGATGTGACGGTGTATGGACACATGGGTGTGATGTGACGGTGTATGGACACATGGGTGTGGATGTGACTGTGTATGAATACAAGGGCATGGACGTGACTGTGTATGAATACATGGGTGTTGATGTGACTGTGTATGAATACATGGGCGTGGATGTGACTATGTATGGGTACATAGTTGTTGAGTTGGCTGTTTTAGAGAATATGAATGTCGATACAACTGTGTATGATGATAAACACATTATATGTCATTTTATGGAACAAAATACATCAGGGTAATGAATATATCTTCAAAGCATAGCAATATGTACGGCATTATGATGAAAAACATAGTTTCATCGTTTATAAGTTAAAATCTTTTTACCTTCCTTAAAAGAACATTGCCTCATTTTGTATAGTAATTGTATGACAGTTTATTGAAAGGCAGTGCTAGATATCTCAGAGAATTTACACTCCCCATTGTACTTTTCGATTGAGTTAGCTAGTTCCTTTCAACATGAAACATTTACGAAATTGACGTATACATAATCTAGTGGGGATGTGACAATTTATGGCTACAGGGTTGTAGATTTGATTGTTTATGGGAACAGAGGTGTGGTAATGACGTTGTAAAGGTTTATGGGTGTGGATGTGATGGTGTATAGGTACACGGTGTGGATGTGACTGTGTATAGGTACATGGGTGTACATGTGATGATTAATGGATACATAGGTGTGGATTTGGTGATATATGGATACAATGATGTGGATGTGACGGTGCATAGGTACATGGGTTCAGCTGTGATGGTGTATGGGTGCCTGGGTGTGGATGTTGCGGTGCATAGGTACATGGATTTAGCTGTGATGGTGTATAGATGCCTGGGTGTGGATGTTGCGGTGCATAGGTACATGGGTTCAGCTGTGATGGTGTATGGGTGTCTGGGTGTGGATGTTGCGGTGCATAGGTACATGGGTTTAGCTGTGATAGTGTATGGGTACATGGTTGTGGATGTAATGGTGCATATTGGTTGGGTTCAGCTGTGATGGTGTATGGGTACATGGGTGTGGATAAAAGGATGTATGGGTACATGGGTGTAGATGTGAAGGTGTATGGATACATGGGTTTGGATGTAACGATGTATGGGTACATGAGTGTGGATGTGATGGTGTTTGGTTACATGAGTGTGGATGTGGTGGTGTATGGATATATGGATGTGGATGTGGTGGTGTATGGATATATGGATGTGGATGTGGTGGTGTATGAGAACATGATTGTTGATGTTGCGGTGCATGGGTACATGGGTTCAAATGTGATGATGTATGGATACATGGATATGGATGTGGTGGTGTATGAGAACATGATTGTTGATGTTGCGGTGCATGGGTACATGGGTTCAACTGTGACGATGTATGGGTACATGGGTGTGGATGTGACGATGTATGGGTACATGGGTGTGGATGTGATGGTTTTTGGTTACTTGAGTGTGGATGTGGTGGTGCATGAGAACATGTTTGTGGATGTTGCGGTGCATGGGTACATGGGTTCAGCTGTGACGATGTATGGATACATGGGTGTAGATGTGAAGGTGCATGGATACATGGGTTTGGATGTAACGATGTATGAGTACATGGGTGTGGATGTGACGATGTATGGGTACATGGGTGTGGATGTGATGGTGTTTGGTTACTTGAGTTTGGATGTGGTGGTGCATGAGAACATGTTTGTGGATGTTGCGGTGCATGGGTACATGGGTTCAGCTGTGATGATGTATGGATACATGGATATGGATGTGGTGGTGTATGAGAACATGTTTGTGGATGTTGCGGTGCATGGGTACATGGGTTCAGCTGTGACGATGTATGGATACATGGGTGTAGATGTGAAGGTGTATGGATACATGGGTTTGGATGGATGTATGGGTACATGGGTGTGGATGTGATGTATGGGTACATGGGTGTGGATGTGATGGTGTTTGGTTACTTGAGTGTGGATGTGGTGGTGCATGAGAACATGTTTGTGGATGTTGCGGTGCATGGGTACATGGGTTCAGCTGTGATGATGTATGGATACATGGATATGGATGTGGTGGTGTATGAGAACATGTTTGTGGATGTTGCGGTGCATGGGTACATGGGTTCAGCTGTGACGATGTATGGATACATGGGTGTAGATGTGAAGGTGTATGGATACATGGGTTTGGATGTAACGATGTATGGGTACATGGGTGTGGATGTGACGATGTATTGATACATGGATATGGATGTGGTGGTGTATGAGAACATGTTTGTGGATGTTGCGGTGCATGGGTACATGGGTTCAGCTGTGATGATGTATGGATACATGGATATGGATGTGGTGGTGTATGAGAACATGTTTGTGGATGTTGCGGTGCATGGGTACATGGGTTCAGCTGTGACGATGTATGGGTACATGGTTGATGATTAAATGTATAAGAGTACATGCATGTTAGTGTGACTGTGTATGGTGATAAACACATTGTATATTGTATGTCATTTTATGGATCAAAATGCACCAGGGTAATATGTACGGCATTATGAACAAAGACATGAGTAAATTATACATCTTTTGACCTTCCTTACAAGTACTGTTTTTTATGTTTGTAGGACAGTTTATTGAATGGCAGTACCACATATCCCAGATAAATTTTACACTTCCCCACTTTTAGTAACATAGATTTACGAATCAGTGAATTAGTTACATTCATATTTAACATGAAGCACTTTGTTTAAAAAACTCCATGCAATATTTTCTGATGATACTTCGCAAAATTCCATTTTACCGTCCCAAAGAAATCAGTTTGCGATAACATTATGTCAATATACCGTCGCAAATATTAAACCCAATAGGATCATTCCTTATCATAAACATGGTCATGGTTTGGCATGATACGCATCTTTGAATTTTGTTTGTTAATTTTAACCCATTCTTTAGCCTTCCAAAAAATAAAAACGATGTTCTGTAACCTTTGAAGAATACCATTGCAATTGATTAATCAATTTTACAACATTTTTTCCAGATCGAATGCAGTTTGTATTTGAGAATCAACCTGCCTGGTCATCATGTCGGGCGGCGACGCCGACACCCTTAAAGGGATTCTGAAAGATTTGGGAGAAAACACATCAGTTCATGGTATTCCAAAAATTCTGACATCCAAGAACAAGATCTTCAAGATATTCTGGCTTCTCGTTTTCATGGTAACATTCGGATATCTTTGTTTTCAAATGTATGCACTATTCGCCGATTACTACTCGTACCCAGTAGAAACGACGGTATCCCTCGATTTCAGCGCCATACAGTATCCAGCTGTAACATTTTGTAATATGAATCCGTTGAAGAAATCGATGCTGAATGAAACACCCCTACTACTTCAAAATGCACTTAATCCTAGAAAGGTATGGTTTTGATTTTTTTAGTTTTTTTTCCCCAATAAACAATACATTTTTAAGTTTAAAAACTGGAGCATATTGTAACCTGATAATTGGGTGTTATTTATTTCAGTTCAAATGAAATATCAGTTTTGTGCTTTTAAACATTTCTTACCTTTGCTATTTCAGGCTACTTAATTAATTAGCGAGCTACAATTTAAACTTTTCAAATATTCTTTTTTTATCATTTCACTTGACTTTATTCTTTTCGTCATTTCTACAACTTGACACTTAATGAATACATTATTAAGTGGTTCTTTTTTATTTATCATTTTCTGCTCCATTACTCTATAACTTGGTATTTGGTCTGCTTGACATCACTCAAATTTGATTTCATTGGTCTCCGTAAGGACAGTATTTTGCCATAGAAACGATGCTTTAAATTGAGAATGGTATGACATGACAGATGTTTCCAAATATTTTTTTTTCGCGAAGACATAAGCTTCTGAAGACTATATGTCTTGATTCTTACTTAGAAATGAGAGTCTATTCAACCCGAGACTATTTGCTTTGATACGCACTTGTCTCGCCTCAATGTCCTAGTTTTAGGGATAATTTCCACGCGTGACCATTCCTCTAATTTTGGGTCTGACTTGAAAATGAGATGTGAAATTAGTACGCGTCTTACCTCCAAGTTCCACACTAGTTATGTTGTCTTGCAGAAGATTTGTTCCGAAAGTGAACCCAATGTGTTTCCTCTACGTCGTTTGAATTCGACCGAACACTTTGTGACGGACCGTTTCCTTATGACTTACATCCCCGCCTTCCCAATGTCACAAGCTACTATGTGACAAGCGCCTCATGGTCTCAATCCTTTTTATTCTTAGGCTCCCTGACGGAACCACATTTCTGAACATTTGCATTATTTGATCGAGACTTTCTGACGGGTGCCTCCAATTGTTGTTTCCGCATTCACTTTTCACCATAAATCCTTTTTGCTTTAGTGCCTGTTTTGTGAAATTGTTGTGAACGTTGTACACAAATTATTTCCCCTTAATTACCACGGTCTTTATTGGTCTGGGTTTGTGTAATTCAATGTGTTTTAGTGATATCACCATCGCGTTTCTTTATTGATCCTAAAAAGGGTAAATGTGGCTGACTTTGTCTATTGATAGCATGCACGTAAACGTGTGCACGATCATGCTACATTATCAGAATATTTTCTGTCATTTGCGATATGTTTATATATTCAAGACTGGATTCTCACAAGGTGACAACACTGCAGATGCTGATGACCAAGACGACTACTACAACTATGACTACTACTATCAGGATGAAGAGTACCAGGACGAAATTAACGAATACTTCGCTAACCCGAATCCCTTACTGGAGGAATATCTAAGATTACAAAGTCCGGACGTTCCAAAAGACAAATGGGTTGAGCGCATTGACAAATTCAAGGTGGAATACAGAAAACTATCTAAGTAAGTAAACAGTTAATTATTGTTAAATGTAAATCAGTATTTATTATTATTAGATCGATATTTCAAAAGTAAACATACATTTACTTTGGTCTTAATTTATCTTCGTTTTAATAGGAAAAGGACTGACATATCTATACATTAATATATCATCTAATCACGAGTTTGATTCGTTATGAGTCTAAAGTGATTTTCCAGTTTGCTGTCGTTTTGTTTGTGGTTGACGTAAAATGTTTGATGTTTTTATGAAAATTTTAAAATATCGAACTCAGAAAGATGTTATATGGACGAAGAAACGTTTGAAATGCAGAGACCAGAAAGATGCGCAGATAATTTTGTCATTAATAAACACCCAACAGAAGCCGAAACACTGATGTCACCATGCTTTGGCTCTTAGTTTCATTACGTTATAGGAAATGAATCAGCCACCATAGCTATTAATCGATGCTTTACACTGCCAGATATGGGATTAAATTGAAATGTTATAGCAAAAGTCACTCAATTTTGACTGCAATAACCGCTCGGCAAACTGAGACAGCTTTTCAAAAAGCTGTATAGTAGCTTAACCAGTCAGAACAACCCACTACACCCAAGCCCATTCCTTGCTGTGAATTTGCCGTTGTTAATGTTATATGCTATATCCCATTCTCAACAATTCCGTGATCGAAGGCTTGCGGATAACGACTATTGGGGAGATTTTTGGTTGCCATTATGATTAGGATATATTATAGCTGTATGAAAACATAACGTTATCTTATGTATGTTGCATATTTTACTCAAAGGATGGCGTCAGCGAAGCAGAAGATGCTTGCCGTTTTTCAACATTTTAAAGTAGTACTTTGATACTTTTTAATGTCACCTTTGTCAGTAGTTCCCCTTTTTCAAAGATTTCGGTACAATTTTGTTTTTTGTTTTTGTTTTTTGTTTTGTTTTAATTTTTGCCATGTTTATATTATATATTTTTATTTATTTTACCAGCGATCAACGAGAAATATATGGTCATCAGCTAAGTGATATGATGGTATCGTGTTCGTTCAACAAACGTCGGTGCAACTCGAGGTAAATATCTTTTTTTCCTGATAATTTGTTTCACAGCCATTATATTTCTTAAAATGTTCTTCTGATCTGATTCCTCATCACAATTTATACATCCGTTATTGTCTCGGATTATGAAAAATATCAGACATCGAGACATTAACCTATTAGTTATAAACAGTTTTTTATCAGGCAAAAATTAATTAAGTAATTTGATTAAATAATCATATCTTTAGTACAGTGATCATGTAAGATATCTTATATCATCACTGTTCATGTTACAACTTTTTCAATTTTGACCAACCAGAATTTAAATTTCTTGTCACTGCATTTATTTTCGCCAATTTTCCTGTTTGGACGCAAATGTCAGCGGAAGTAGGAAACGTTGGTTTTCCATCAAAATATTAACATGTGCATTTATGGTTTAGATAGAATTATCGGAAAGCAGCCTATTCAAAATGTTGTCGTCTTGCCAAGCATAGCGTTCAACTATTTATTTAAATTTGGACATGTATTCCCTTACAAAATCTAATCGGGTTCCTTTATATATCATATACAGAAAACTCTTTATGATAGAAATAAAATATATTTCTCGATCTTGCTTCACACTCTTGAAAAAATATAGGTAGTCTCTCATACTCGTAAACGGGTACGATACTCGGCGGATGCCATTAAATATCCTCTTTGTAAATTGTGTAACCATTATTTCGAAACAACAGCAAAATAAAAAGTCATCTTTATACTGTAAACATCATTCTTACGATATGTAAAAGTTTCGCGCTTATACCAAAATCTTGAGGCAAAAACGTGCACTTTTCACAGAAGTCATGAAATGTGCTATATGTTTAAGTCTCACTCCGTAAAAAAGGAGACCTCGAAAAATAATATCATGTACGGTTTACCGACCTTTTAAAATGAATTTAATTTTCCAGTTATTTCCACCACACTGTCAATGTTGATTATGGAAACTGTTACACACTGGAGTCGAACAACTTAGTGGCACGCAAAGCTGGTCACCTGTACGGTATGACAATCTGACGAAATACTCGTTTTCAAATCCATCACATGATTTAAATCAATATTTAAGTGATATCTCCCGACGGCATGTTGTAATAATCATTTTCCAATATCAGAATATATAGCAATAAAGATGAGGTCCTGATGATTATGCATAAATCTGATTAAATGACGAAAGGTCTTTTTACATATATTTACTTTAAGAAAACCTTTTGGCTGTGTTTTTCTTTCAATTATGTACATTTAATGACTGTGAGATAATCGTTCTCTAAATGAACTATGAAAGCTCATTTCCGATTTGGATCATTTTAGGATATCAAGAACTCAATGAATTTTGTACCTTATGTCGGCAAAATAGCTTATGCCAAGACTTTTAACATTTGCGTCTTTACCATATTTTCAGCTATTTCGTTCAAACGTTTATCAGCCTTGAAAACAATACTCGCACCTGATACCATAGTACTGTAATTACCATTGGTAACAATAATATGAACACATCACAGTATCAGAATTCTCAATAGGTGTTTGTCTTCTTATCAATGCCATTATACCTGATTGCCCTATGACAATAGATTTTCTCCTAAAAACTACAGGTATACATTCAATCGTTGCCTTTTACTAACACTTTACTCGTAGTTAAAGTTTATGATATACACATGTACTGGGCGCAGTTCTAAAATGATCTGACCTAAAGAAAAAAACAAAATTTATTTGATTATGGGTTGCTGCACCTTCCTGTCTAAATTTTTACTTTTTCTTTCTTTCGATTATTTTGGATTTTCCTGCGTCACCCCTTAAGCTTTAAAATGTGAATGTGACAGTATAATGCCTTAATTTGTAGTGCAATATGGTATTCACGTTTGTGCCTTTTGTACAATCTTTGAGATAGCAAGTGTTAGACACTGCTGGTGGACTGTTAGTCTTCAAGGTTTGCATAATTTGCATGCCAAGTTAACGTTAGCTAACTCTTAAGTTGTATTAAATATTTTTATTCACTTATATGTCTTTTGTACAATAATACGCACAGTGATATATCATCAATACTTGCCAAACGCTTTTGATAAAATGTTTCTACTTCCTTTAACAGGGCTACAATTGATTTTAAATCTGGAGGTGTCAGAATATATCACGTCTTTAACCTCGGCATACGGGATCAAACTGGTTGTTCACCAACCCATGACTGTGCCCTATCCATCTGTAGAAGGAATAACACTCAGCTCCCGACAAGAAACTACTATGTCCCTAAAAACGGTAACTCTATTTGTCATAGTCGTTTGCTTATTCCTTTATGTATATTTTAATTCTCTTCAGACAGTCTCACGTTTGTCAAACGTGTGATTCTGATTAGGAAATACGACAATATTTCTTCGATGAAAATAATCTTTCTTTTGTGTTAGTTTACTCGATTTTAATTTTGAATGACCACTTTGCGTCTAATGTAACATAACACATGTTATTTTGTTGTGTATACGTGTAATTTGTTCAATAGATACGCTACAAATTGCACAAATTAAAATGCAAATTTTAATAAAAACATTTCATTCGTAGAAATATTTGATGGCTGTTTCAAAACGTAATTGTTTCCTAACAGGCATGACACTTTTTTTCTGAGTTCATAGAAATACTTATTTAATGGTTTAAAATGAGATAAGCCATTAAATAACATGGGAGACATAGAATTTAGATAAACAATATGAATGTCATGTTTAATTCTAATTCTTAAGCATGTGTCCAATGCTACCAGTGGAGACAATAGTTTTTAAGGCAGCAACAGTTTTGATATATATTGACTTTCTACATTAAAATTTTCTCTTCAAATTTTCAACCATCTTTTATTTTCGCCTTCTTTACATAAAGACAAAACGAGTGAGCGTTCGACTTTGGGGATAGAACGATATTTTTTCGCTATAATGTCGACAATTGTTTTTGGATGTTCAGCACAAAAATATGAAAATCGTCTGCGCTGAAAATATGTCAAGGTTCATAAGAATCAACCGTTTGTTCCAGGTTTCAGGTCATTTCTCCCCTCCTACGTCTTATTTATTGACATTGTTCGGTAATTTGTGTGCTTTGTTCATCCAGATCGAGGTCCATCGTCTCGGTGGTAACTATGGCAGTTGCAAGAATTCATTTGTCCAGGACAACGGCCAATTATATTCACAAACGGTATGTGTTCAGGGTGCCAATTTAGATAATATCGCCTTGGCAACATCAGATTGCGGATTAAAGGAAATGTAAGCCGGTGTGATGTACGTGTATATGTAGCATATGGGGGTATTTTTCACGACTGTTTTGATATTTGATATCGGAGAACGTTATTTCAAGATCATGCTTCATCATCTAGTGAACTAAGTCGTGATTTCAATGATAGGTTGACAGACTTGGTGTCAGATATCTTCCGAAATATCGTGAATTCAAGGCAATGTGTTGCTATTCGTAGACTGCAATCTTGATTTCGACCGTTAGCATAGTGAGTTGGTGACAGAAGTCGTGATTTTGAATACGTGAATTTGTACTTGAAATTCTGTAATTCTGAAGGATTTCGTGATTTCGTAACAAAAATCGTTATTTCTAGGATTGACTGCAGGAATTTGTCCTATTATAAACATTTGACTTCAAACATTTTTTCTAAAACTCACCAGAACCTCCCATGAATAAGTATAAACCCACTTTTTAGGTCTTAATTTCTTTAGTTTAAAAGTGGTTAGGAAAGGCATGGAAGATCGTTAATGTTGTGAACGGTTTACATTTGCATGACGTGTACAATATAGTTCATGTTGTCTAACGTTGTTCACAGGATTTTTATGGTATTGATTACACAAACAACAACAGAATTTATAAACCTCAGATGCCCGTTAAGGCCATTTGGAATCTTGTATTAGATACAGTTTATCTGACATTGAAAAACAATTTGAATAAGTTGTAACGAGTTGCTAATTGAATATTTTCCTGAATTTTAAAGCTGCAAATACTGTTCAATACGGTTCCATGGTCATGCAATGCACATACGTCAGACATAAATAGCATAAAACCATTTAGGCCCTCGTTCGTAATCAACCATAACGAGGTTATTAACATATCATGCATATAAACCTGTTTTGACATTATTTGACATCTTTTTGATAAAAGATAATGATATTTGTTTGAATCCATTATTTTGATGTATGGGTTGGTCGTTTGATGAAGAGTGTTGGATTTATATCACACTCAACAAATATATCTCCTTTTGTCATTTCAGTCGTGCTTGAATTTGTGCCTCCAACAGAACGTGATAAGGAAGTGTAAATGTTTGCCATCCGCCATAGAAGGTTCTACATACAGACCTGAATACCGACAATTGAGCTATTGTGAATTTGAAGATTTCAAAAGTACGAAGATCTTTTTGATAAAGTGTTGTTTTCAAGCAGCACAACTTTGCTGTTGCATGTTTTGCTTTTGCCTGTATTCTGCCAAACACGAATCGTACAAACGATGTGTAATGTGACAATGAGACTTTGACACAACAGTATGTTAATATAAAGAGAATAATACATGTTATCTTAAAACGGTATTTATTAAACATATACAATCATTTGATACGTTATACATCTTTAGCTATCACATAACTTGCCTGTTGTGTTATTTCATGTAACCTTGTCACAAATATTGTAAAACAAGTGCAATTATATTTCGTCAAGTCTTGATGAAATCAATTTGAGAGTTTTCCTTTTTTTTAATAAGAAACACGAGTTATATGATAAATATAAATTAACTCTCGTGCCGATGTAATATGGAATTTATTAAAACATTAATACGTTACTTGCCTTAGGACCTGTGATACCTCAAATAATTGAACTGGGTGAAAGTTAATATTTCAAATACACTCATCAAATCCGCTATGTTTACAATTATAGAAATGGTTTGTCAGTTCGAAATGGAAAAGCAACAGTTAGAAGGAAGCTTGAACTGTGATTGTCCTACCCTTTGCAAGTAAGTATCATTGTCCCAAATTTCACTTTGAAACATTAATTAGATTTATTATTATTAACTCTTTTCAAGTGGCATTGCAAGTGACAAACTTAATTGAAAAAAAAAACCAATGCTGATAATCGTCAGTGATTATGAATTGAATTTATGTACAAAACGATTATTAGAAATCATTTATGTTGCTACTTGTAAATATATATGAATGTATTTGTTAATGTGTTTGAGGTTGTCTTTTTCTGGAATTTCCTTTCGCTAACATTTTACTCTTTTACTACTCAGTGAAATTGTCTACACAAAAACACTGTCTTCAAGGACATGGCCTCATGACGAGTATTTGGTAAGTTTATTTCTTTGTTACAATATTGGAAGAAAAATAATTCCTGTTTGCTTTTTACACCAATTCAAAACTTGTCTTAATATCACTGATTTGAAAGGGGAAAAACAAGAAAACTATAATGATCGTAAATTTATTTGAGAACGAGACATTACTTACTTAAAATTGACCAAGACTTATATGGCTGATGTCGTCGATGAAGCAGAAGACGCTTACTATTCCGGAACACCTGGCTTATTTCCCTTGTACGTTTTCATGAGTCTCTGTGTCAATCTTTCTGTTGTTCATATTTTGGCCTAGTTTTGTGGAATTTGAGTTTGGATTATGATTATGTTTACATGTTGGTATTTTCCTGATGTTGTTCCATATTTGACCAATGCGATGATTTTTGTGAACGTATGTCATTTGATGTAGCTAGGAACAGTGAACTTTCAATGAGTGATATTTTTAATGAACCAATATACCGCCGTATGATGCTATCACATAGTTGCAATGAACACTTAGGCTCTGTTTGAAGTTTGTCAAGTCCATGTTTAATTTTGTCCTATAAGGAAACGTTATCGAAGCCACAGATAGTGGCAGTACAATAGATAAGCCTGATCTACTAAAGAAACCTAAAGGAGACTTTGCAGAAATCAGGCTTCTAACGTGTTCGAATTGCGTTTTACTGCTGCATTCACTTCCTCACTCGCTACGAAAATTCGATTGGACTCATCTACAGTTGCTCTGATAACCTCTGGAATCTAACTCGGAGACTTAAATTTTTGTTTCATCCAATTCTGCATTTTCCTTATTTTTTTTTTCATCGTATCTTAACTAATGATACATTCCTTATCCATATGTCGTTTTGATCACCGTTGTCATTAATGTTCCAGCGCCAATTTCTCATGGCGAAAGTGTGCGCGAAGAATCTGACGTCGGCTTCGAGTGCATGTGAAAAGTATAAGGAAAATCCGAATAACTTTAGTGCATCAAGGTAAAATACTTGATATTTCATAAAAAAAAGAAATACAAAATATTTATATTATTATTAATTAACAAAAATTTATGAATATAGAATGCAAAAAATTATATAACAACGATTTAATAAATAGACGATTTTTTTATTAACTTGGGTTGTAATTAATGCCCATGGTGGTATTTCGTGGTATGACTTTAGATACGATACAAAATACCTGTTAGATCCTAAAGAACCAGCTCGTAACATGGTTACATAACAAGACTTCACTAAAAAGACTATTTAAAACTATACATCACTCATTAAGAGTTGAGGATTTTTTTCTTCAGCGTCGTCGATAATTTCCTGGCTGTCAACATCTTTTTCGAGGATGTGAACTATGAGGTCATCACAGAGTCTGCCAAGTATGACGTAAGTTATGATTACATGCTATAACAGTGCACATTCCAAAGACATTCCTTCAAAACATATGTTATCAATTTCACAACCTAATCACAAACTTAAAATTGGTATAGAATTTAGATATCACTGAATAAGCATCCTACAGTTCAGATGTGGTTGGCGATGTAGTGCAATTTGCGTGTCAAAAACCACAAACATATCTCGATATTACTACAATACATATCTACTTAAAAAAAAAAACTCGGTCCTTTTAAATGCGAATTATTCACGAACGACATCAGTTCTTTTTTCCTGTGTCATTAATGTGTTGGTGTCCGGTTTTAGGAGTTCGAGGTTTTGGCTAGTGTCGGTGGAACTCTTGGGCTCTTCGTCGGAGCGTCTGTTCTGAGTTTTGTGGAGATCATTCAAGTCATGTTGGAAGTAGGACAATATCTATTCAAACGTAACAGAAAAGGAAAAACGGTTCCGGAACAGCATATCGATGACAACAATAAGACATCCGAAGTGGTTTAAACCTGGTACAACAATAAGACATCTGAAGTGGCTTAAACCTGGCTACAACAATAAGGCATCTGAAGTGGCTTAAACCTGGTACATCAACATGGCATCCAAAGTGGCTTAAACCTGGTATAACAATAAGGCATCCAAAGTGGCTTAAACCTGGCTACAACAATGACAACCAAAGTGACTTAAACCTAGATACAACAATATGGCATCCGAAGTGGCTTAAACCTGGCTACAGCAGTGACATCCAAAGTGACTTAAACCTAGATACAACAATAAAGAATCCAAAGTGGCTTAAACCTAGATACAACAATATGGCATCCGAAGTGGCTTAAACCTGGCTACAATAATAAGGCATCCGAAGTGGCTTAAACCTGGAAACCATGTAAACCTAACGTTTTCTTCATCATTACTCTAATGTTTATAACTTTCAATTCGTGTGTCTTTTAGTAATGCGTTGCAAAAAAACTGAACACCGTGAATATCGATTTCGATTTGGCTGACTGGTAATTATTAGGTGTTGGAATTGTTTTCATTATTTTACATTTTCGTTTATTGTCGCTTTCATTATTATTTTGGCGATGGATTTGAAAATGAAAACTATGTGAGTATTTCATTTTAAATGTGAACTTAGTTACCAATATTCTATTTTTGGTTTGGAAAGGACATTTTTATGTTTTAAACAAATATCTTTCAAATAAGCAACTTAATTCTGTCTTCGATATAACATTTCTATTTTTTCACATTTAAGGGTTTCTCAATGATTGCTCAATGTTGTGCAATACTACGCTAATTAACAACAGTCCCCATATTCAAAGCCCTATTACAACATATTACTAGCACCCCATTTTATCACCATTCCATAATGTTAAATTTCTAGCATCCCATTGCGGTCACAACTGACTTTTACCATTTAGTCATATAACTTGTAGCACAAGTTCCCCACCCCAAAAGCATTCTCACATTATCACCAAACCATGACAACCAACATTTCATTTTGTTAATAGTAACCTATTTTTTAACATTTCACAATTAGCCTCCAATGCAATTTTTACTCTCTTCCTTGTATCATGTACCCCCATTCCAAACATTATTCAAATGAACACATTGATACCACCTAATTTCAACTCCCATCCCATAGTTGCAAAACCCATGAGATTCTACCCTTGGCGTTTGAGCCTCACGGGCCATAAGAGACTACAAAACTCGTGCTTCCAAACATAAGCTTATTTGGCGATTTCGACCAATCAGAATTGCTAATGGGACTCAGATGGAGCAGGGTCTCGTGGGTTTCCGGCGATGCTTCCGTCCATAAAACCATTTTGTCTCTTATTTCATCCTTAATTCCATTGAAAAAAATGTACACACACATACATGTTGTAGTATTTGTTCTTCTGCGTCGTTTTCATATCTTGGAATAAACCTGCTTATACTTCAATTTTGTTGTTGTTGTTGATGATGTTGCAGTCCTAATTCTATTTTGTACTGTCTATAGGCATCTTAAGAGTATACAAACTTTCTGGACTCTAGTTTCTATGGAAACAACCATGAGTGGAACTGTGCATGTTGTGTTAGCAGGTGAAATAAATGTTGACAGTTGACAACAATCATCCTTTCATGGATTTTGGTAATCAAGTGTACTTCATTTATGCAATAGATACACCGACAATAAACGTAAGCGCGTATTTATTTATTTGTCTTTTTTTCTTGATCTTTTTCCACACAATGGAATCGTGCTGTAGTGATGCCAAAGTTCATGAAGGGAGATAAGTTAGATATCTCCACTGAAAGACCAATTGCATTACTTCGAGCCATTTGTTTTTGATTTTTTTTAAAAATTATTGTTAGATATTTATGTTTTATACAAGTGGGGCCTGATGACTATCAGACAGTCTTCCACCAACCAGTTCCTCTAACTGTTTATCAGCTTATTGAAATATATCATAAAATATATGACTATCTGGAAAAATCCTACCTGTACATATCTAGCGCTTTTTATAATGGGAACTGGAACTAGTTATGAGATATAAGGCAAGTTATTGGTTTGGTTAATGCATTATGTGTGTATGTAAGAAGATATGTCTCTCCCTCTCCGATACCCATTGTAACACTCAACTGAATTTGTCGATTAAACAAAAATGTCATCTTATGTAAATTTATATTGTGTTACTTTATTATAGGCTTTAAATAAATTTGACTACTTGTACCGAAACTCTTTTGTATAAAACACCAATGCAAGCGAAACGTGTTTAAATCCAGATCAATTCCGAAGCGTCAACATCGGGCAAAATAACTAAATGTAAATACATACAACTTAATTCGACATTTAAGGCCAGTTTTTGATGTCGAGATCAATATACTAGTTATTTATACGTTCGTTCTAAGGACAAGAATGAGCCGTTGAGTCGACAATCGATCCCCTCAAAACAGAATAGAATTCATTTGACTGCAGTATTTTGGAATATCATGGGGAATTATCAAATTGTTGTTCAGACAGCTCTCATTATTCATGTTCCACAAAATAACAATAGACAAAGCCAACAATTACTCTTTATACATTTATATCGAATCGGCCGCTTTGAATAATTTAAGAGAGACAAACAGAACAAAAAATTAGGGAAACTTATAAATTGAAGTCAGCGCAAAATATCCAGAGTGATTAGGGTAAAGTGCATCTAGTTCAGGATCACAACCCTACAATACAAACTGATCATTATTCAATTTGTACCATTGTGATTGTGATCTTGGACTTGTCACTTTACCTTAATTGATCTGTATTGCACGCTACGTGTTTCCCGTATGTTGTTCAGTGAGGTAGTCACCAAACACTGCAAGGTGACCTCACAAGTACAAGTAGATATTAAAAGAAAGATAATGACTTTGATCTAAATGATTCGGCAATCCATCTCTCCACATCCTCAATGCTTCGTCCTATCTCTTTGAAATGTTGACAGAAGCATTATACAGCAAAAACTACCAACACCCGAGATGTTGTTAGTGACCAGGATCTGCTACATTCTTCTTCAAGCTAACCAGTATGACGTAATCAATAGATCAGTGTTGCAATATATCAACATATAACGCTCATGGTCAGCTGCAGTAGCAACTATAACAAATAACATTGGTCACTACTGGTGGCAAAGTTCTGATGTAAATGAACAACACAACAAGAAATCAGTACATCTTTTTATAGGACTACAAAGGCCAAGATGCATCAACCAATATAACAAGTAAGAAAACAATTAATATGTGCCCCGATCGCACAAACCAATGACGTCACTATCCTACGATCTCCTCTCCTTCACAGATGGTGTAATGGATCTGCAACGAAAATAAAACTTCTATAAAAACAGCACATGAACCAGTTTTATAATACACTGTACACTGCATACCTTTCTGCAGTTTAAATGTAATTTTTTGCAATTATTTTGCCATAAATGATCAACGTAACTACCTAGCGAGGAACTGGGTACCAATAGTTGATCTGGCGCTGGATACAAAGAGGAAACAGAACCATGTGCTTCTCTTCAAACTGGTGACAGAATTTCCTCCGCCAGTAGAGGTCATCCCGGGGCAGCTCCTTGGTCAACACCACGGATAACTCAAGTCCATAGTTGAACAATTCCATTGCTTTTGCCCGTTCGGCGAAATTGCCTTTGTCCTTCTTCCGAGATCCGGAGGGCTTCCACAAAGATCTTCGTTTGATCTGACATGGAACAGTTCCGCAGTGAGGACAACGTGAAGGACCTAGAGAAATAATGTATATGTTCAGTCCATTTTTGTAAAACAAGGGTTCCATTATCTATCGGATTAGTCAGTCTTGTTTGAAGATTATCAAAGACCTGCTCAATGATCAAAGCCGATAAGTGATGTTAATGCATTTGCTTAGTCGCCACAAGATTGGTTCTTATTTTTAATCCAATTGTCACGCCTTTAACTAAACCATAAAATGACTCTGCAGCTTTCACACTAGCTGATTCCATATTTTCTTTCCGTATAATTATTAGCTAAACTGGAAATAAACAAGATATTTTCGTACGGAGATACATATAGGACATATCTAACCACAAAAGACTCATTGCTCTTATTGACATTTTAGATTTTACCTCAAAACATTTAAAAACAATCATCTATTTCGCCTAACAGGCTCCATCCCTTTGACCCAGGTGGTAAGATCCATCGTTTATACAAAATTGAGCCCTTTTCACCCCAGGATGCTTCATACCAATTTTTTTCAAACACCTTTACTCCAACTGAAGAATGATTTCAAAGTGAATTCGCTATATTCTTACCAGCTACATGTTTGTAAGCCCCTCTCCTCTCGCCCACAAAAGCCAGACCAACAATGTATACTGAATTTATTTTTCTTCCTACATAGATGGCCAGTAGCAGTTCTAATGAAAAAAGTTAAAGTAAGGTGGACGTCGTTCCATGGTATAACCTAACTGGTCATTCGGACCATTCTATATATAACAACTAAATTTGGTTAATCGAAATTACTTACGAGTTCTCCATTCCTTGAACTTTGAAAGTATGGCCGACAAGGCCTGTTTGGCTTTGTTTCCTAGTGACGGCACATATCCCAAAAACAGGGTCAGAAACACACACATCAGTGTATAGAACACCTCGTGTCCAATTCGCTGAAATAAATAAAACGTGATCAGTTCATGGCAACAGTTTTTTTCGTAGAATAGTCCGCGAATTTACACACTTTTTCTACCCTCTTAAACATCAAACCCAATGATTGGTGAAATGTGAAATAGGTGTTGAAACGAAACGCATAAGCAATGTGTACATGTAAACAAAATATGCAAACATGATAAAATAGGGGGCTCCAAGTTGATACTTTAAGGCGGTTATCTCAGAGGGTTTTGCTTTATTATGTTTCAGGGGTTTTTTTTTTAACCTGATTTACTTTTTATGACTATGGGGAAGGGATGGATGTGAGGGTGTGTGTGTGTGTGAGGGTGTGTGTGTGTTATTTCAAGTATTTAAGAGAATTCTTGAGTACAAAATTAATAGGGAAGAATGTATTTCCTAATTTCCTAACAGCAATTTCTCGTCAAACTTTTGGTAAGACCTCGAATATTTGAAACATCGAAAACTAATTTTGCAGTAATAGCATATTTTCTAAATTACAGTTGTGTCGACATGTTCAGTAAATGATAATGGTATGGAATCTTTACCAAGAATATATCAACTGGCGCTGAGCATTCCTTCTTGATTCCATTGGCTGTGACGTAATGATAAAATCTTTTCATATATCCAGGGTCGGGCTCCACGCTACAAAAATTTAAAAAAATATATAGTTACAATGTGACGATGAAGCATATACTCGGATGTAAGGAACAAAAAATGGTTTGCTCGAAAGGGCTATTTGCTGTAATAATTGCTATTTTCTAGGTGTTTTATTCGTCTTAACCCCGAGGATGGAATAGAATCACGACGACGACAACGACGAAGAAGAAGACATCAATAGAGGATTGATAGTTTGTTAATTAATTCCGCGATAAAAACGCATCTTTCTTTTTATCTCAATGTAACAACTCCAAAATTTGAATCATAGAAATTTACAACCTTCACAGAAACTGACGCAAAGTAGTATACTCAGTGTCATTAATAATCATCAGATTAAAGGTCCAAACTTACCACATGAGGTCCCGATAAGCAGCAGGACCTTGGTGGACTGTGCTCAGCATAACCATAAATAGCAGTAATAACTTGATATCCATTGTGGTAAGCCAAGTTTTACAACATAAGATAAAAATCAGGGCAGAGACTCATTATCTCTGCCATTGCCAATTGCTAAGCAGCATAGCAACTAAGATATGACGTCACAAATGGTTCACACTATCAAACTCTTGGTGACGTCATGCCTTTGTCTTTGTAACACAACAAAAGCGGTCGCAAGCTTTTAACGTGACTAGTTTCTCCTTTTTCTGGGTGAGGATGGGAGACTTTAAGTGAAAGTTTTCCATACGCGAGCCCTACGCAGGACTAGACTATGGGATATGCCGTGTCTTTGGGAGAGTCTCTTTCAATACAAATACAGTTAGTAGAATCCTCGAAAATAGAAATAGTTTCAATTTTTATATTATTCATTTATTGGTGATGTTGGTAAATTATCAATTTTCTTAGCGTTAGTCTCTGTCTGTCCGTCCGTATGCCCGCCCGCCTGCCTGTTGTTATTGTTGTTGTAATTGTTGTTGATGTAGTTGTTGTAATTGTTGTTGTTGTTGTTGTTGTTGTTGTTGTTGTTGTTGCAATATGTGAGTCACAGAATGTACTAATTTTCCCCTCGAAAAAAGGACAAAAACTGTGAGTCAATAGCTCCTATATGTGAAATCAAACTACCTTTGATTATATTTGAAAATCATGTATAAATCAACAAAATGAAAGCATGAAACAGTGCGTTCAAAATAACATGAACAATGTATGAACAATACCGGTACATATTTATATCATGCACTTCAGTAACGACATCTCAGTCATATTTACCGTTTTATTGATAAACACGTGCGCTCAAAATGTTTAACCAGCACGCAGAAAGAAGGCCATGACCACTTTTGTTAAATTAAACAAATATTTGGGAATCGCTGGACGGGAAACGAAATCGTAAATCATTGAAAATCTGTATCAATTTGGGTAACAAATAGCGTCACATTAGATAGGTCCGTGTCTAATATATAAAAAAAATGAACATACTCTTGATTAATTGGCGGTTGAATGCAGTAGTCTATTGAAAATTACTTGTTATTTTAATATGGAATTCGCAGATTGTTTGTCAATGTGTTTTAGAAGTGTGAAATTTGAAACTACTCGTCACCTTGATACGGAAGACATGTGGCCATGGATCGGGTTTGGGCTGGCGTACAATTTTTTTATCACGTTGTGGAACTCTTTTATGCTGGAGGAAAGAAACGTGTAAAAAATATAAACAAGGTAAAGTGTTGTGGGACATGAAACGTGTGACCAGATGAAACATTTATATTGCACGGGGTCTGATAAAAACCGATGCTATGATGAAGTAGCTAAATCAAAGCAATGTCGAACCACTCGCATTCGTGCTCGGGTCACTTTGCAACTCCGTCCGTACACCAGACTCTTGACGAGTTGGATTTCAGAAGAGGGATATGGACGTCAGCACTAGATGGAGATGTTGACGAGGTCGAGAAACATTTATCGAAAGGAGTGTCTCCAAATCTTACTGATAATTCTGGTTATACAGCTCTGGTGAGTGCATGTGTATGTTATTCACATTGTCTTGGCTTAACAACCAGACTTTCACATGGGCTGATACTGTCTGTTGAGTACATGTACTATTGACACAGATGAATGTATTTGGGTATATTCGAGTGTTTTTGAGTAACAAGTCAAGCCAGAAGCTCAGAACATATATTGATGTGTCATCAAAACCGGCACTTCGAATGACCCAAATCTTATAAAAATATACCTAAATATATCAAATACAACCAAATATTTCCAAATGGGAACAATGTTTACCAAATTATATCCAAATTCATTTCATATTTAAACAAGCCCCCATGTATTGGTTATTTAATCATGATTGGTAAATTATAAAATATAATGTTTTGTTGCATATGTGTAGTACTCTACATTTGTAATTGTAATGCCAGTACACATGATTTGTCTTTGTGATTACATCATTTAGTTACATTTTACATAAATGTTTTTATCACATAACAGACCCGTTTTCCCATGTCATACGCCCATGTCATAATAATGGTAATACACGTATTCATACGCCCGCGCGCTATACTACTTTTATTTACTACGACAACAAACTGTAGTAAAATATGGCTGACCAGATCAATATTGGCGACACAGTTTTTATCGATAAGAAGGGGACTGGTGTGGTGAAGGAGATAATCCCACGGGTGTTTGCTGTATTTTATAATGTTGAATTGTGTGGGATTGACTTTCAAATTGAGCTTGAGCGCGATCGTATTGAAAAGGTGGTAGATCCCTCCCAACAGCAGACGACCGCTCTGGATGGCGGTCCTGTTGCCCCTGAACCAAGTCGTTTCGTTTCAGTCAGAGATGAGGTGGGAAGTTTATACAGGATCAATCAAACAAGAATACATTGAGCAAAACTTTGTATGACATGAAACTTTTGTATAATTTTTTTGAGTTACCAGAAATAAATGAAAAGCTATCAATGAAAGTGACAGTGATTCGCAGTAACTGGAGCAGTTAGGCCGAACCTGATGACCCGTGATGACGAGGCGAGTGACGTCATGTTACCAATATTAAGTGAATTTCCAGAAGATTTTTTGTGTGAATTTTAAAAGTTATTTTGGCATTAAACAGAATTTAAATGCTTTACTTTGTCGATATTATTTTGGAACATAACAATCTCTTATTCAATCATTGAAAAAAGGTACTATTTGCAACACGGATGGATAAAAGTATGATTGCTGTGCATTGGCTTTGACCTATATAGAAACAGCTGATTGCATAGTGGAAGTAAATCGTAGTTTTCTGGTGATTTTTCCATTTTAGTTGGTTATGTGGTAAATAGAATCAGCTCGTGGCATATTAAATTATTGAACTCGTTTAATAAATTCCATAATACATTGACACTCATGTAAGATCCTATATATCTGGAATACATTCACAGGAGTATAGATATATTCACAATCACAAGATAATATAATGACGTCATTTTGGCCCTTGTTAATGGACATTTTGTTGGTTCTTGCAGATAAAACACATTGTAATTTTACAAGTCTTTTTGACGATTACATGTACAACGAAGAAGTTACTTGACACAAAACTTCACATGTTTGATCCTTAAGTTACAAATAACTTTATAAAGATGAATACCAGTAAAAGAACAAGAGGACATGATGTGTGTATATTGAAATAACAAAATAAACTGGACATACAAAAATCAGCATTTTTCATGTGCACAAAGAGTTGTCAGCATCTGGAGCTACCTACCTATAAGGTGACTGTGGTGAATGCACCAGCCTTAGAAACTTTCAAAAATAGGTTAGATAGACATTGGTCTGATGCTGCAAAGTCAGCTATGGAGAATGGGTGAGATCTGAATAAAGAGGTCTAAGGACCTATGTCTAGTATAAATCAGTATATCTATTACATCTACATATTTTTGAAAAATCATATTTTAAATACAAAGTTAACCTTTGAGCAAGTTTCTGTGTAAACAGGTATTAATGTCTGGCTGAATGCAGTCTTTTTAATAGTTAAATAACCATGAGATCCTAGCAGCCATTTTGAGGCCATTTGTAGGTCACCTGGGACAATGTCTGTTGTTGTGCATCAGTAAACTTTTAACATTTTCAACTTTTTCTCAAAAAGCCTTGAACCGATTTCAATGTAATTTGCAAAAATTTTCCCTGGCTTAAGATGAACTAAGATAGTGAATTATATGGTCCCCAAACAAAAGGGGCCTGTAAGGTCGAGGCCAAAAGGGGTCAAATTGGCTCAAATTTCAAAAATCTTCTTCTGATCAATGCTCATATATGGTAGGATAAAGTGTTGTTCAACGCTGGAAGGGTGGTAAGGAACTGGTGAAAAATTGTGAAATTCATGACCTCAGGGTCTTATACTTCCCTCTGGGGAGGTGGTAAAGTTTATTGTGGTTTATATAGGGAAAGTACATTTTCAGCATAGTTTGTTCAATTCTCATTGGAAATATTTCAGATTTGGTTAGAATTATTAACAAACAATAACTTAATGATGGCAAGTTTTGATACAGGATGACCCCCAGGGGCTGATAGGCAGGGTTAAAAGGGGCCAAGTGGACTCAATTTCAAAAGTTTTCTTCACAGTAGAATCCAACGCTCTTCATGATTGGAGGGTAATCAGATGCTTTTCAAAAACTGTGAATTTTGTGATTCCAGGGTCTAACATTTGGAGAGGGGGTAAAATTTACTTTAGTTTTTATAGAAAACTTGAATTTTTGAGGATAACTTTGTTTGTTGTCCAATCAAAACACCTTGGTAAGAATTATAAGTATAGGATTATGGTTTGGATTATAAGCATTTATTGACACTCAAAAGCTACTTACCCAGTAATCTTTGTTTCCAATATTGCTTACCTCAGGTGACCATCAAGGTCTATAGGCATTTTATCTATATATCTGTCACCTATTTTGCATCCAATTGATAAATGTGCAATCGATTTAAAGATTAAGTATAAAATACATCACATGCAATGTTGTTAAATCTTACCATAATTTTGATGTAATGAATTGCTGTTGTTAGAAATATTTTCTTTATCAAAAAATCAAATGTTAAAAATATTGTGTTTTTGTAATTAAATTAAACTTTTGCTATTTTTCAGTGTATATAATCATTATTGGTTTATTTTTGGATAATTCATTTATTTATTTATTTTTTTTTTGTTTTTTCTATAACTTATGTTTTAATTGGTATATGTCTATTTACATTTATTAAGTGTTGTCCATTTTTTTGAAGCATTATGCATGCAGACATGGGAGGAAATCAGTATGTGAATTGCTTCTGAGACACGGTGCTAATGCCAACTCCATGACTAAATCTGGAAGAGTTACTCCCCTTCATCGAGCTGCATACTGTGGACATGAGGAGATTGTCTCCCTTCTGTTAAAAAATAAGGCAGATCCATTGATTCAGGATGTTGATGGCAAGACAGCATTACACAAGGTTAGCATGTAAATGTGAAACCATATAAAAATGAACTTTTGGTCAGCGTTGACAGAGTGTCAAAAACTTATGTAATTGATTATTAATATTTTTTATATACAATGTATATCTAATTTTCTGATACACTATAGTTTAAGTTATCAAATTACCTTCTATACATCAAACAATACATATTTACAAAGAAAAATTATATAAGATATTTTCAACTACCTACATTAATATATCTTCAATATAACTTGTACTGAATTTTTCACACAGTCTTTAATTGTATGCTCTTGAAAGAATCTTTCAAAGTCACACATCATTCAATGTGCCATTTTAATACTTTAAAATTTTTAATATGTAATACATACTTGCTTGAAATACCTCTATTCATTAATGTAGTATGGTTTGTACTATGGGGTTCTGGTTTTCTAAACTAAAACCATAACTCTTTTATTAAAATCTTTCATTTAAATTTTGAAAAAAATGTTTTGAATGTTATAATTAATATTATTTTTTGGCAAATTTTGAAAACAATGCTGTAATTTTTACAACTGGCCCATTTCGTCATTGACTGTGGAAAGTGATGATTGATATAAATTTATGCATAAAGGAAATATATAAAAACTGACCTGTTGTGACATGTAATGAAGAAACATATATTATTCTGCTTTAATAGGCTGTCGAAGAGGGGAAAACTGGTGTGATGAAACTGATAGTGACACACTGTCCTAGTTGTACCACTGTTCTGGATTGTAAAAACAAGAAACCTGCAGATTACATATCTACAGAGAAACAAGAAAACATTGCATTTCTTAATGAAGCTGAAAACAAGAGCAAAATGGAGAGAAATACATGAGAGTGCGATATTCTTGTTTAAGGGACAGCAGTAAAAAGTACACATGTTATGGAACACTCCTGTCGCACACATGTGGGATATACTCTAGTGCTTGAGCAATTACCAAAATAAAATATTCTGCATGCATTATTTGGTTTGATGCTCCCACCACCCAACAGACTATTGAATGTATTTAATTATATATTCAACTATCACAGAATGAATTATGTTGCGGAAAGTTTTTTAAAGCCAGATGTTGTTAAAAACAAATTTGTATAAATAAAAGTGATATTTTTCAGATGAGTTGAATGTAATTTCTCGAAATTCAAGCTGTATATCTTCAGTGTTAAACATTATACAATTTGTATACCATGCTAGTTTTGTAAAATGTTATATGTAAAAGCAAAGTCATTTATCAAGCTTTAATAGAAATATTACTTATAATTTTCAGCAAAAATGGTGACACAAACAAAATAAAGTGGTATTAAACATCAGCAGTGCCAGCCCTACTGCCATATTATAGGTCATAGCTTCAAATATTAGTGTGAGACATATTTCCAGCATGACTTTATCCAAGATACATTCACTTACAAACAGTAATATGATATGATGTCACAGCGGCAATGCTAATAGCCAGGTCCTAATATTAATACTTGACTTTCTCTTTCAGGTCCTGGCACATCAATATTGTATAACAAAAGCATTATCGTTATGTTGTAAGATACAACAATGCAGTTACTTAGGATTATGATTCTGCACATATAATAGTTATTGGTTCTATTATTATTTAGAGAACAATAAAGAAAATACGAAAAGAAAAAATGATGTAATGATATTAAAGGTAAAATAATATATATATATGTATGTCTCAGACATTTTATTTGTTATTATGGCGACCTGCAAAACTACACGTAAAGTCCTCCGTGAGTTAGCCTATATGAATAATTCATAATTTGCACAGCAAAACACACTGAAGGTTATTGAAAACTCCAGATTTTTTTTACATCTGATCCTTAAATCTGAATGTAAGTGCATGCAAACAGGTCTGTAGTAAACATTTTAAAAACGAATAGACAGTAAATCAGTTGCGTTTGAGCACTGTATGTGCTCTAATCCTAATCCAGATTTATCAAAAGCAAATTTAATTACCTCAAAAAATTGTAACCACTTTTAGGATGATCTCTAAACAGATAATCATCTACATGTACATGTGTGAAGATCGTTTTTGACCCAGCACAAATCCTGTGTCAGTATTGAAACAAGTTTCTACACTATCGATGTAGCAGTATACAACATCAGGTGTTCAAACTCTCTTGTCTAACAACCAAGAAATCCACTTCTGTATATTATTTAGTTAGCAATGCTTTTTAAATTATTTTTTTAATCTTTAGATACACACAATGTATACACTATTTGGTGAGACGATCAGTCGTGCCATTACCGATCTCGAGTTTGGCTGAATTATTTTATGTAACAGAAGGGACTATTAAACGTCAGAAGCGAAACCTGTACAACTGGATGTTCGCACGACAAAAACACTCTTTACCAATGATTAAGGTGTACGCCTGAAATAGGTATTATATAAGGTGAACTTGTCAGTTAAATAAGGTTTTATACTCAATAAACTGGAATGTTTGGTGTGAAAAGCATTCCCATGTTCACGAGTTTCTATGGATTTAAGGACAATACCATAAATTGTTAATTTACGGGATATCTTACTAAGGCTCGAGGCATGAAGGATTTATTAGACTCCAAACCATGAACTTTAGTATGCACGAAAAATTTCATGTCATACAGTTTTAAAAATAAGTTACTTTTGATTTGTCCAAAGTCAGCATGGTTTCTAATCCGCCCATTTCGTTGTTATTGTGAGGACGTATTTACACCTTTTATTGTATACTGGAGGCGGACGAAATTTCCATTAGGTGTATCCACCATTACTCTGATCAGACAGCCCAGACTGAAATACACCATAGTTCTGGTCACCGTCTACTTGGTTGAGCGGGTTTTGAAGGTTCTCTATTTTCTTCTCAAGAAATATTGCTTGATATACGTAGGAAAATATCGGAAATGAGTTCCTGTATGGACAAAAGAAAACAGTGCCTTATATATCGCAAGCAAGCATGGGCACTTTTCTTATGTCTTTTTGTCATTAATCTTAAATCCTTCATCTTGGACAGCTTACACGAATTCTAAAGTAATGAGTCAAAACTGAGAAGAAACAAAATTGGGTTGCTAGCTACTTCATTTAGAGACAAATGTATTTGTATTCGTGTTTATCCCGTTCTGTGTCATGGTAACTGAATGAATTGTTTTAAGTGGTTGTATATGATAGAAATGATAATGCGTTATTAACTCATATACGCAGAGGTAAATGACGACTGTAGAGAAGTATTTGCGAGTCAGCTACCAAAGAAAATAAAGCTAAATGTGATGATGAAATTCATTTATCTTTATTTGGTTTTCTGCATGCGTAAACACGCTATCAAAAACTTTCCTGAAGTGACGTGTGAAAATATGATTAGATATACGCCTTTAATCTGCCATTTATAAATTGATAGACGATTAATTTAGAAAATATTTCAAAATAATAAGAAATTGACAGATAATGCCAGCATCCATTGTCCAAATGAGATAATGTCTGCACCAAGTTGTGTAGTGTTATACATATAAATACTTTCACCATTGAATTAAAAATAAAAAAAAGATTAAACCTGAGTAATTTGTTTGAAATAAAACCGAGAAATCATTGAATGCAAGTCTGATCATTTTAAGGAAATATTATCAGCCATCCATTTTCCAATGGTTGATGTAGGATTTTAACACAAACTAATTAAAATCTACATAATCTAGATTGTAAAGAAGTTATTTTTATTTATTTCCGGTGTATTCAAGCATTACTGATTTTTATTGTGCTTCACAAACGTATACACCTCACAGTATGTAACTTGCATACCCCTTTTTACAGACGATATCAAAATTCATAAAATTGTCGAGGGTTCTGAAACTTTGTGTTACATAATAGTGACAGTGTGTAACTAGACACGAACGGGATTGAAATTATGAACCAAATGACAGGAAAAACGTAGCTTGATCTTTTATGAGTCTAAAGCTAAATATATCGTCATTAAATCATCTTTCTATAACACGAAGATTGCTTCTTTTGTATGTGTGTGTATAACTCAACATGATAATTACTGTTGCAAAAGATTGCTTCTTTTGTGTGTGTGTATAATTTAACACAATACTAGTAATTACTGTTGCAAAAGATTGCTTCTTTTGTGTGTGTGTGTATAATTCAACTTAATGATTACGGTTACAAAAGTGTTATCACTGATGCACTTTATATACACATGTAGAAGCATTTTGAGTAAATGAGCAAATTCCTGTCTTCAGGATTCTATAGCGAAGGAACATTCGAAGAACTGATATTAGCTTTACAGCACAATTTCAAATTCAGTGTAAACATTGATATAGTACACAAAAATAATCCCATTTGCAGCTGTAAAGGTTGCTTTCATTCATTAAAAAGCTGTATTTCTAAAACTCAGCACTTCAGAGATGTTGGTGATATGAAATCTATTGAAGATTAAACATCAATATAAGATGTACAAATTTATTCAATAGATAAAGACACTTGATATAATAGGCCAGACTACTACACAAGTGCCTGTAGGAATGTTTATCAAATACAAACATGACTCTACAATCGTTATCGCCCAACTTTTAAAGGAAGCGACCGACTCAAAAACTTTTCGAAATATTCGGAAACCTGTTTCCAAAACAATCAAAGTACCTCTATAACGACAGACTCCTAATTCATACTCAAAGTCAATCAAAGTATGCAAAATATGAGGGGAATAAAAGAATTCACAGGGACCCTTACAAACGTCCAACAGAACAAGATCAAATCCCGTATTCATAAAACCGTTCTCATACTAAAATAAAGATTTTGTGGCCGGGTGCAAATGATTTTTACTGATAAATGTGATAGTTTCTAGTGAGTTTAGAAATTTTGCAAAGATATCTAAGTGAAATGTCCTTATCAACGCATAATTTTTCATACTATTTCATGATCTGAGCAAATTCAAAGAAAGAGTGGAACATAGAAAACATGCTGGAGCATGTAAATTGATTCATTAATACGGGCCCAGGTATTCCAGAAAGATAAGCGTCTTCTACTCCATCGACAAAACTTATCCCGAATATTTTGGTCAATCCAAGTAAGTAATGTCATGTTCACAAATGAGAATAATGTAGACAACAACAGAAGGACCAGGCATACTAACGATCATCAGACACTTCACATCCAACACTAATATCTATTCTTCTCATTACGAGGATCAAAAAATGTCCTTATAATCTTCATCAACCTGCGTCTCTCATAAACCTGTGCAACCCTTTATTGTCTTATTTTCTAACAGAACAGCCTTATGTTGTCAATAGGTTTCCAAATAAATGTTATACCTACATCATTACAGAGTATTAGATATGCTGTGTAGATAAGCTATTACAGTAATTTGACCACGTCGCGTCATTTTCCCGCTTGTGTCGTTATTGGCATCCACACATTTTATAGTTGATACATTGTCATTAGTAATCAAGCTGTTGTTGCTGACAAATCCATAACACTCTTGCCTTTACCGATGACCAGAAACGCATACTATGTTAGAATTTATAACAGAAATGTCTCAATATTTTCAGCAGCAATACCAATGACTGGTAACAATCTTAGCTGTTCAGAAAAATACATATCCCGTGTGATGGTAAAGCTCATAAAGTTATATTGACATACATATATGTTCATCGGTGTACATTTGATAAGCCATCACCATATTGTATTTGGCCTATTTCTAGATCAGTTTTAGATGATGTTACTGAATTGTTAAAGATAAAGGTTATTAGCGAAACGGATCTATCATGCTGTTCTTTAATTATGACAATATGAAATAACAATAATTGATGATATGAAAAAATGTTGTTCAATTTGGCTGGATAATTATCTACATCATCATGCTGATGTACTGTATCATGGACTAATCTGCCTATGTCATCACATGTGATTTACGTGGTATTAGACAGGTGACCTATAGATATAATACTTTATCAATATAATAATGTACATATTTGTTTATGTAGCAACTTGTATATAATAAAGGATAATATATATATATATATATATATAAATATATGCCCATCGAAATCAGTTCACCACGTTTGTCATGTTAATATCAAAACTACATTTATGTAAATTGATGCATGCGTGTATAAAACGATGAAAGGTGTATGGGAGAGTCATCGGTGATCGTATAGAGCCTTTTAAACTGAATAAATCTAGCAACAGTGTTGTGGTTATCATGTAAAAAGGGAGACCGATGTTTCTGAAACTACAGACATGGGTGGAAAGTTAAAATGTTTGGATATACATGTGCATCACACAGGTGTAAACATATACCCTTATTAGTAGAGAAAATGAGCGTCATTTGTTTTTATACTGTATGTAGTGTATCTCGGTGTCATTTGAAGTTAACCAGCAGTATTTTATCATTTACCCAGGTGTATATCAAAGGTAAATTTGTCATTTGTAATCCACGAACAAAAGTTAATCTATGACTAAAATCTTACAATGTCAAGGTTTCTCTAATTGTAAGACGAATTTATTCATCTTTTACAAATCCTTCTACTGCGAATCACAAGACAATTGCTTAATACACACTTCTTAAATTATAATTGATACGTGATTGATTGATGGTATATTACCAAACTCCGAAGTTGTACAGTAGTAAAACTTGTTGACATATATGTTAATAGAACACTCTTCCGTTCAGACATTAGCGGTTTGACGTAGGTGAACAAAGGTATATTACCCCGTACACAGGGAGCACGTGACTAGAGTCATGTATACAACACCAGAAGCAGTATTTGCATCGTATATCATTCGTAGGTAAAATGTTATGGTATGGTGAATAACAAAATAAGCACGAACCAGTATTTAAACGAAGCATAACATCATGGACGTTGTGCCATACAAGTCAGGTTTCTCTTTAAGTTATATGATAGGTAATGTTCAGGGTGTAAAACAATTGATGCCATTATTTGCTGTACACTAATAATGATAAACATAACTAAATTGTTTGTTGTTCTTGATCATTTTTGTTTGTAGTTGATGCAGTTTACTCACGAAGTTTTCAAACAGCTGTTAACAGTATTCACCATGTAATGTATCATTAAAATCCGTTACGTTGAATTAAATGTCATAATCCGTCATAAGCCAGTTTCATTGCCAGTTGATTATATGTGGTTATGCCTTTTCGCTATATGCTGGTGGTGGAGGAGTATTCCAGGTGGGGTATCCACCATTTTCCTGGCCAGTCTTTCCACTCTGGATCCCACCATAGCTCTGCCCTTCACTGGCTTGATTGACACGGCTCTCAAGGTTTTCTAATTTCCTCTGAAGCAGGGTGTTGCGATATGCGCTGGAATACATCTGAAAGAAATTCCTGTATCGAAAGAAGAAAACCATTCCACATACCGCAAAGGCAAACATGACTGTAGAGATCGCTATCGATATGGAAGAAATAATCAGAATGATACTGCTTCCGTTTTTGGCGCACTCTTCTCCTGCACATATCGTTATACCGCCTCCCGTGTACCCGGCGGATAACCCACATGCACTCAACGCACCAGTAGAAAGTCCATAAAAAAGGCCAATCTGAAAAATAGGAATAGTGCATGTGATTAATGATTTGTGCGTGCTGAAACAATATACAGTGGTAGATTGTATTGATCAATTCTATTAATTACCAATCAAATCAATAGGAAATGCGCTGCCATTTTAGAGATTACTTGAGTTCGTTATTATTCTATAGACAATATAACAAATGTGTGTTAACAGAATCTTATTTCAAACTCAAAAACGGTGACACTAAAGGACAATAAGAACAATAGAACGATTTACATGAATATCCATTTAAAGGTACAAGAAGGACGGGACCAGAAGTTTATATGAGATTTTACGTCATTATAATGACCACTGTGATATAAGAATGAGTGTCGAGAAGGACACCAAAACAGCAATGAGGAAGAGAAATAAATGAATATTGGAAGTGTAGCAATGGCCACAACAGATCTACTTGATGTTACATAATTTATCAAAGTCCCATTAGTATTTAGCACAAAAGAAAATCCCCGAACCTGCAGTGGCCACTTCAGTCAAAATTTATCAGAATCACATGAGTAGTTTGCACAAAAGAAAATCCCCGAACCTGCAGTGGCCACATCAGTTAAAATTATCTACATGAATCTAGCCATGCAAACAAGAGAATGGATAACTTAGGCATTAGCAGTATTCTTTATCAGACGTCTCCTGATGCTAACATGTAACTCTACAATGTACTTGAATAAATAGAAATACTAGTCTTCATTTCTTGCAGTCAATCCAAGCCGCTTTCTTCCAAGCTAAACTTCGTTAAATGAAGTTTATTCTTTATGATATTATGTCAAAATAGTTATTAAAGTTAGTTATGTAATAAACAGAATCTTACATTCTTTTCTTCTCCATTATTTTTATACTTTTACTTCTTAAATAAGTTTCATTTATCTTATCATATGAAACGGCCACTCTTGTAAGACCTTATAATTGTTTATTACATTAAGTGGATATTGGGCGTACTGTCATAAAAGCGGAACTAGATAACATTTTATTTTCAAATTCTTTTTTTTTTTTTTTTTGCCTTTAAGTTTGTTCTAAATTGAGAAACAGATTCACTGTTAAATAAAAGAATGCATACCCTGCATTTCAACTCTCTGTTGATGTCATGTTTGAGATTTACAGACGTTTGAGAAATAGTTATACCCACAACTCCGAGTACAGCCATCTAAAAATAGAATAATTGTAGGTACAATACGTTCAGCATAGTTGTTTATTGTTGTATGTCGAATAGAACACGCATACTGTAGAGTTAATATTTTATCATGTTTTGTCCATCTTTGATTATTGCTTGATTGATGAATATTTAGAGTTGTAGTGACTTTGTAAACATATAGGTATTGTATTATCAACAATGAAAAATATTACTACTTTATCTTGCGTTCAAGAGTTATCTATTTCGTCCTCGGTTTTCAACAGATGGACGTTAAACATTCCACAACTTGAAAAGCTCATTTCAAGTTTTGTTTTTTTTTGCTTTTTTGTAAAGTTACATATGCTTTTTGATTAATCATCCGATAAGATAATGGTGTATAGATACTGAACACAGATTTCCTTACATAAACTCCAGACCATATTGGAGCACCCGAGGTCAAAGGAAACTCCATATGACTTCCGTTGAGGGACACGAGAATGACAATTCCCGCCACTATATTGAGCATGCCTGACGTTATCATGGCGTACGAAAGACGGGCCAACTTCGCCAATGCCTGTACACGCATGGAATACGCTGTTTCTAAAATCAGAAATACTAATTATACATACAAGAAATCGTGTTATTATATAAACTGACAAATACAACCTGGCTGAAGTAACCATTTGAAATCGTTCTCCTAATCGATTGATAATTATAAGACTGAAAACTCACAAGCTTGCACTTTTTTGCGCTCGATACATGATTTAGCGCTTAAAGGAGCAACGGTCTTATTTAGTTTATCAAATATAACGTCAATGAGGTAAAGATAATGCCATACTTATTAGTTTGATAAAGATTTGAAAATAATCGAGAATAATATGTATATTTGAAAATCGTGGTGAAGTGATGAAATTCCAACGGTGTCATTGTCCTCTGAATCTCCATTTTAAATGGTTTTCGTTGTCCGATTATTCGATTTTGTCTATGCCTTCAGAATTTATATAGTGAACATATTTATTTAAAACATCCCGTTAAAGATTTATGCACATTAGTATTTTGTGATAGTTCAAAACCATTTTATCATAATAGAATTAACGAGAATTTGCACGAAGTCGTTTAAGAAAACAGGAAAATAGTCATATAATTGCAAATATTAAACTCTAGTATGAAATAATAAAACAAGTGATTTCTCATCCTTAGCATCAACATTTAAATTTAAATTTAAACACAAATAAAGTATAGATATTAACAAGAGACTTTCACACAGGTATATATGTAAACAACTGTGAATAGTGAATATATCAATGTTGTGCTAACTCGTTCAAAATGATTTCCTTCATCTAGTATAAAGTTTGAGTAAATATGGATAAAATCCCACAACGAAATCGTATTCTTTTTAATGACTATTGTAAAAAAAAAAAAAAAAAAACATGCAGTTTATTGTTCTAGTTTTTTCGTCTAAGTTGTCGTAAGACTGCGAAAATTGAACCATCGGATCAACAAGCTTTAGACAAGGCACACTCGTAATAGTATATTGCTATGGTACAACATAATTCTTTATCTGTGTCGTGTCATTTGATATTTATATAAATATTGATAATTTGACAAATCCATATAACAAATCGATTAAGAGGTAAAGATTGATTTTCATATCCAGAATGTCTCACCATTTTCAGCAGCTGTACCAGTAACTGGCAGTACACTTCGCCGATCTGAAAAATACATTTTCTGTTCCTCCTAACTCTAAAGTTGACGCTGTTATCTTTATATATGTATATCGTGTATATGTTTATCAATGTACATCGGGATATGAGTCATCACAATATGTTATCCGTAAAGTTTCATCGTTTTAAATCTAAATCATATTAAAATGCAACCGCTTCACCTTTTGGGTGATAGACGTCCTATCTTATTAAGTATAGCAATATAGAATAAATGTGTATACTAATATGCAGAAAATGTTTAGTTTGTCAAAGGTTTTAGTTAAAAGGAAGCTAGTTATACCGTTGTGTCCTATAATGGACTGATCCACTAGAGATATCTAATGTTGTATGTGACCTCAAGATAACACTTCATGAATACTTTAAATGCATGTGTTTGTTTTCATAGCAACTTTACGTATACAGTTTGGAATAGATAGCTATGTTTACCATTTCATTGTTACTACTATTTACATTACACCAACAACTGATTTCAAAATGCATGAAATGATTGGGTATGAGACTAACCCTCTGATGGAAAAAGAGAAAAATACACCATCAATTCTGTCAGTAGGTCTAAAAGATCTAGAGTTATTTTCATTGTAAAAGTAAGACTGTGACTTTAGCTAATACCAGAAGAATTTTATCAGGTATATAACCTCATTGCGATGTAAATATAAATTTAAATACTGATCACGAACGTAGATCAGTACTGTAGTATAAGGTGTTTATATTTAGAAATGCAGTTTGATGAAAAGGATGTGAACATATATGTTTCTGATGCTCGTTAGCTCGTTAACAGTGTAGTTACTTTCAATAAAGCAGAAAAAAATCTTTCAGAAGACGTAGAGTTCTATTTTATTGTAGTGTTCATATCTTATCCTAGAAATTCTTATCTGTGTTTTCGTTGTTATATTCATAAACGTACATGTACCCTCTTCCCATCTTGTGAAAGCATAGATAGAAAAAGTTCATCAATATATATGATGTATATCAAATATTGAGTTTAAGATAGATTATAATTGCCTTTCAGCAAAATCTGCACACTAGATAAGTGCAGAAGGACATAAAAAATGGCACTATATTCACATGTTATATCTGATAGCTCGTGATATGATATTGGAATTCTCTTTATATGATCAATAACTAGATTCTATGTCCATGACTAAACTGATACTCTGACTTCCTATCTTTCTGATAAACAGAGAAGTGCAGCTGTGGATGCACTATTTGAGTATGACAACTGTTAATAGTGAAATTTGTCGCTCAAGTGTAGAACATAATTTGTGTTAAATCTTAATGTGACCGGCTGGCTTATCAGACAGATAGTTTAATTGCGATCACCTTGGTGTCAGAACCATGCCGTGAAACATTGGCTGGACATGCTCTCCACCAGTGAGACATTAACTGGTTACGGTTTAACTGTAGATCAGTAGAAGACACTTTTCCCTATCAGAATT